ATAGAAAGCATCCATATCAACGTGCACAATCACTTGACTCAAATCTCGTTGGGCCTCCATTTTGTCAATCTGTTCGTGTTGTGTTGAGTTTCTGAGGTTTACGCTAGCATAAAGATGAATAAAAGCCCACAATTTGATCCACAGAATGTTCAACATGGGCTAGGTGGTCGAGAGGTGGGTCATAGTCCAAAGGAGATGTATTTCGATGCACGCACCAATATCTGCGTTCTTCAATATCTCATTCTTGTGCTTCAACAGTTTCGCAATCTTCTCCGTCAAATCTTTGTCCTTCCGTTTCTCATTCTAAGTGATATCTCATTGTCTCATGACAACTCTTCTTTGGAGTGATGAGTGCGCACCTCGTAGAACTTCGATCCTTTGGAGGCCTCAGCAATAACCTTGTTTATTTCAGTCTGATCCTTTGCGAGTCTGGAATATTAAAATAACCCAATTATATCAAATCAAATAATCCCAGAAAACCTTGAGCGAATAGTCTAACCCTGCTTTAGTCGTTGACGGACCAGCCAGCCGTTTCAGGAGACTCTCAGAGTCTTGTGTTTGGGGAGGAAGTTTTGAAATGGGCTTCTCTTCAGACATATAGACGTAATTCGGGAGATGTTTTCAATGAATTTGAGGACATGAAGAGTTCGGGATGATGGTGAGTGCGAGAGTTTAAGTTACAGTAAATTACCACGAGACGCGTCTGAATCAGATGATAGAATTGTCGCATGGTAAGCACGTGACGGTCGCGGTCACGACTCCGAGTCGCATCCTGGGCCTCTTATTTCAATACTGTACGACTACTACTGCTACACTGATAATTCACGTTCGAATTTGAACCTCCGTACTCACGTTAGCGCTATATATCATAACTTAGTAAGTCACACAGTAGTATTTTTTTCAGAATACATGAGCTGATCATAAAGTAATCACTCTGCAGTATGAACATTTCGTTCTAAATAATGGTTGCGGGACGAACAGCAAAGCTCAACCGTGTTCGCGACGCGTCGATCCGACACCCTCTGCGAGAAATTTACCACACTTAGGAACTCCAGCGAAAGACTATACGTCTTCAAAAATCGCGATTGCGAAAGCAAGAAGAGACGATCGCAACTCAACAAGAAACGTTGGCCCTGCAGGAGGAGAAGCTCACGCAGGAGGCACTCAAACATCAACAGCATCAGGAGCTTATGCAATCTTACAAGGAAGAGCTTAGACAGCTACGAGAGGAAGTCAAATTGATGAAGTCTGAGAATGCTAGGGCTGCATCTCAAACGACAAGGTTGCTACAGACAGTACAGAGGAATATGTCCGGTCTCAAGACAGATATGGGGGCTTTGCGAGATAAAGTGGAAGAGGAGTCTGAAGTGAACGAGGAAAATGCACAAGCCATTGTTGCTACACTTGGTGCCGTTGCTACTATGGTCGCGGTCAGGTATGCTCTCTCGTGCTTTCAATTCGTCAAACAGCGTGATGTTCTCATCTGACAAGTAATGACTCAGCCGACGTATATCAATCTGACTCTTCAAGTTCCAGTAGCAGCTCGGATTCCGATTCTGATTTCTAGTCAATCTTTTGGATACATTTCACGTTGCCTGCCACACCTTCCACCACTTCAGAGTTTACACTTCCAGTCGAACTATCCAAACTTAATCTTAATGCATATGCTATTTTAATCGGTGTAAAATCTGAATTATTACATTTTGTCTGTAGGTTTGTGCTACAATTTCCTGTAGAGCCCGGGTCTCGTTGCGAAATTCTAACAACAAACCAGAGACCTATCTGCGACATATATTCACGATCTCGTCCCAACTATTGTCAATCCATCAAGCGGCGACGGCCATGCACAAACTCAGGGGTTAAAAATTCGTGAATCATCAATTCAAATACTGTACATGTTGAACGTCTCAGGACCACCAACACCTCCATCACAACATACTGAATGACTCTGAAAGTCGTCTCAAAGCGGCCAGTCTCCATTCCTCCTCTGGCGAAAGCATCTTCTCGCTATCTGCACTGGCAGGGTCCGGGAAAGGTGAAACATCAACTTCACATACCGTTCCTTCCGGAGGTAGCGTTCCATTTATGAAGTACGAACGTAGATAGGAGCTTGTGCAGAGTGAAGGAAGAGCGAGTGAGCAGTGCTGTGAACCATTTGTGAGCAAAGGTGAACGGAGAAATAATGTGTGACATACTCCGGGAGAGTTTTGCACTAGCAACCTTGAGGAGTTTCCAAGCAAGTCTACAACCAATTTTCCACTAGAGATCGGCGTGACCGGGTCAGCCTGGAGAAAAGAAAATTGACGTCAATCGGTGCTAGGAGGCAAAGTGCTGAACATCCTCGAAATAATGTACATACCATGTTGCTCACAACCAATAACGGATTTCTTAACGTATGATTCCAAGGTCCACTGAACTTTTCCGGGGGAGGAGAAATAGCTTGATTCCAATATCCACACCCAGCGTCGGCCTCCGTGGCGACAACTGCAAAAGCGAGATTCGAAACATTGCGGTAAACTTCAGTCAATGCATCGATGACTTCTTCAGCAGGAGGAGGCGAGAATATGCGTTGATCATTGCAAGACACTGCGAGACGTTCGAGGTCACCTCTGAAAGGTGAAGCGGTGCTAGAATGAAGTGTCAGCTCGTGTGGGAGGTGTTCGCTACGTGAATATTTTGTGAAGATGGATCTGAGGTGCATGGGCATAATATCTGCAAAGATTTATAAGTTCATTTATCACTCAATGTACCATCTTGAAATGCTCAAAGGCATGCGACTTACCCAGTGCTTCATTTGAAAGGCCGTGTTGGATATCGTACTGATTCCAATTGTTGCATAATTCTTCACTCGGCAGTTGGAATAAAAGCGCAGGGTCGTTCTTTTGCATCGCTTGAGCTAGTCCTTTGGCGAAGGAAGGCCATAACACGGGTCTCTGCAATCTTGCGAGCAAGATGTCTATATGCGACTATTAGTCACCGCTCGCAACATCGGATGCAGAGATTCACTCACTAGATAAACGACCAGCAGTGAGAATCTTTGGGGCACCAAGATCAGGTATTGGTAAAGGATGATAATAAAGACTATCGATAAATCTATTGATTCTGTCTTTGATTTGAGAAGGCTCTTCATTCTGCGACTCTGCTAATGGGCAGCCGTCAGGTCCAACTGCGGAACATTCAGTTACGAAAATGTTGTATGCAGTTTCTGTGGATGATAGCCATTGGTGATACCAGAGGTGAGGGGGCTTGGCTGATTAAATTGTCGGATCAGATTTGTTTTGCTTGCGATGTGAGGGCTGAAGGATAAAAACATACAAGACCAAGCAACTGCATCTGCGATTCCATCAATGACTACTCTGCCTACTCGATCTGGTAACCTGACAAGAGATGAGCATATAAAGGAAACGAAGCTGATTTGCTAGACACCTCACATGTTTACCAAGTACTGGCCAAGAATGGAGCCATAAGAGCCGCCATAGAAATTACTTGAATTTTGGGTCAGACAGTATAGAAATCATATTGATAATTGATAGAACTCACATTAATGCATCTTCGCCTTCTAGGGTCTTCGTGATAAATTCAACATCGCGTACAACGGTACTGGTACCCATGTATCTGAGTTCATCTCCCATTCGCTGCGCACAGAGAGCGACTTGGGTTTGTAGCAATGCGTCGGCTTCTATCTGTTGCCTGATCACGATGCTGTGGAACTCGGAAGCCGAAAGATTTGAAGAGATATCATATCCACGTTCCAGGATAGTATTGTGGGTGAAATCGGTGTAGTCAAAGTCTTGCTCAAAGCACTGGGTACGAGGTCTAAACAAATATAACAGCGTATTAGAGATGTATGGTCCGCAAAAGAAAATACATGGTTACTCTGTTTCCCCAATTCCTCTCGGGTCGAACCCGATTATATCATGCTCATCTCCGATCTGTTGAACAACAGGTCAGTAAACGAAGTATTGCTACTCATTGGCAGAGTGTATTACAAGATTTTGTAAAAGCAAACCGAGTCTTTGTATGACGGCACTCTTTCCAGAACCTCCAGGACCTCCTGGGTTGAACAAAACACTACCCTGTCTGTTAGTTGCGGTGGCAGGTAACTTTCCTAGCGCAATCTTGACGGTTCCCGCACTAGAGTTGAAATAATCCTTGGGAACTCTGGTGCTCTTCAGTTGTAGTTTCAAATTGCGAGATTAACATTGAAATCGAACTTACATGATGTAACCACATTGTGCTGAAGGTAGGTTATCTGAACCATCACATTTCCACCATTTCACAGTCCCAATCGGTTCTGTAGTGTAGAATGAACGAGAAGGAGATTGGGAGAAGAGGTGAGGTTTACGAGTGCCCGTAGCGTATGGAGATGAGATGTATACTGCGGAGATGCCATAGGTGAAAAGAATACAAAGTCCTAAGGTGATGACCATTCGTTGCCTGGTGGACAAAAAAGTAGTAAACACTGGACTCCGACGAGCTTGAGCTCGCTTTTCCTGCATCTTGCTCTCCATGGGGGGGAGTGAATCTGGCGAATAGCAGCTTCACTTGAAGAGCCTGAGTATTTATGTACAGTTGGTCAGATCTGGAGATTCAACAATATTAGATTTCAGTTCTTCTCAGGCATACCATGTGGTGAATTACTGAAGTTGACCTGAGCGCTGTTATTATGCGATATCGAAGAGCGTAGAGGCAGAATGCAAATTATATGTTCTTCAACGTTGTCTTAAAATGAATGGTAAGTACGTGGAGAAAGGCTGAGCCGAGGATATACTTGTACTTGCTGTGTCTTAGAGAGTATGTGGGAAAAGCCTGGTCTTCCCGAAAGACTCGGAACGCACGATAGAATGACAATTTCTCAGCCACTTTCCCAAGATTCTGGAACTTTGCAATTGGGTCTACTGGAGGGTCTGCACGCAGTTGAAATCGATACAGTATTGGCAGTTGGTGCGGAGAAGTTCCTACCACAACTATAGGTTGTATTTGAATTAAAGGTAATCATAGCCGCGTTGGCGTAGTGGTAGCGCGTCGCACTTGTATCAACTCATAGTTGGGGAATGCGAAGGTCACTTGTTCAATCCAGGTACGTGGCAATCATTTTTTTTTTGCTTTTCTGTTCGACCCAAAAAAATTCATTCTCGGGTGTAATTCAGGTCCAAGAGGGACTGCTGACTTAGCAGGCGTTTGGTAGCTTTTGTGAATAAACTACCATATTCGGATTGACATTGCAATCGGGTTTATCCGAAGTCAAGATTGAAGATACTAACTACTATCCTCTTGGATATTCTAGTAACACATTCATTCAGACCGGGATCGAATGACCTATCCTTTGCATTTGGCCAGACGGTGGTTGGGTTTCAAACCACTTACCATACTGCATTCATCAGGCTCTTGTTTGGATTTCTTTTTGTAAAACAACATTATCTCTCAGCTTATTCCCAAGGTGCAGTATTTATTTCTCTTTTTATGATACTGAAGTAGGACATTTTATCTGACAGTCATATCAGTGATCCAAGACTAAGATGTTGGAGAATTTATCAGAGGATATCATGAACCTGATCCTAGATGAGCTTTGTAAAGACAATGTTGCGATGTTGTTAAGTATGAGACCCACAGGTGTACTTAGTCGGCATTGGGAAAGCAGCTAAGTTGGGATCGGGGAACCTTGGCCTCAGTTCGCAAGGAACTGTGCCCTCACTAGGTCTCTGGTTCTAACTTCAGAGCAAGCCGTGAATGGCAGAGAGTCAGAGTCAGAGTCAGAGGAGAAGATGAGAATGTAATAGGATGCCTCTGTGTCAGAACGGACAGAGGGTCAAGGCAACACAAGTGGAAGGGAAGGGGAAGTCGGAAAATGGGAATCAGAAATCGGAGCAAAGAGTAGAAGGGTGTAATACTAATGTGATTTACGACTGCCGAACATTTAGTTGTTCATAGTCTAGCTTAAATACATGGTCGGAGTATTCTACCGGATAGTCCAATGCTGTGTCTACAATGTATCTATGGTGCAGAAAAGGTGCGACTACAGTGTGGAGTCCGAATAACCGATCGACCAGAATTTAGCATAACCGAACACGAAGAAAACATATGTACTATGGAAGGAAAATGCATGCCCTACAGGTGTTGAATATCCTCATGGCACCAAGCTCATAGAGAGTCGGACCGGGATCCAATCGGGGTTGTCGGAATCTTTTATTGGGTCTGCTCAGGTCTTAACAGTATCTCCCCTTTAATGACCTTATCCCTAGAAGGTCAAGGTACATAGAGGGACTAGAAGTTTGATCTCTGTGATGGTAAGCATCAGATCGATTCCGAGAAAACCAATGATTCCCGCCTGATGTTAAGTACATAGACTTTACTTTACTTAGTTGGGCGGAATGTCAGCTAAGTCGGAGTCAGAGGAACCTTGGCCTCAGCTCGCGGGGAGCTGTGCCCCCACTAACCTCTTGGTTCCTTATTTGCAGAAAGCATCCTTCTTGTTGGAAGACTCTGAGTTGGAGTCGGAGATGTCGGGATGGAAAGCGGAGGAGAAGGCGAGAGCGAGGGAGGAAGCTGAGAATAACTTGAGTTGGGAAGTTGGATCGAACAGAAGTGAAAGAGTCAGGGTCGGACAGATCGGGGTAAGGAGCGGAAGGTCGTAGACTATATCCAGATATAGAAGTACATGGATACGAGTACTTGATGTAATGAGATATAATGAGATATACGACTGAGGTACTACAGTCGACTATACTAGAACTTAAATACACGTCTGGAGTAAATCCCGACAGGGCCGATGCAGTATCTACAATGAGAGAAACATGCTAAGTATGAATGGCCGATGGGTCGGGAAACAACATAACCAAGCATGCAGGAAACATAAGTATCTATGGAAGGGAAACATGCGTTCTCCAGGAGGTAAGTATCCTCGTGTTCGCCAAGAACAGAAGGTCGGACCGATGTCAGGTCAGGAATGGTCGGGGTCTCCATCGGGGTTCGTTCAGGTTATAACACCTGAGTATATTATAAGAGCCTCATCTTACTCTGTGGTTCCCCAGATTTTTTCCCAAGTCTTTTCTTTGCTATGTCTCCACACTCCTCTGATTCCTCAAGCTCCGACATCGACGAGGATGATCAGTTGCAGGTCCTGCAAGAGGAGTAGTGCTGCATAGAAGAGTAGCATCGGGAGTTGGAAGCAGTGCAGGCCGAACGACTGAGAAGGAAGGAAGAGCAGCAGCATCGCCAACTTGAAGAGGAGGCAGAGCGGAAGTGGGAGGAGGAGTGGAGGAAGGAGGAGGAGCAGAGGCAGGAGGAGCAGAAGCAGAAAGAGGAGGAGATGGCAGCTGTGAGGACTAGGGCAGAGGCAGAGGCAATGGCGGTATCGCCAGTCTCCCTGGTGGTGGGAACCTCAAAGGAGGAAAAGGGGAAGAAGAGAGCATGGGGAGAGGGACCTGCAGTGGTGGCAGAGTACTTTGGGGTTGACAGGTGTGGTCAGTGTCATCAGGATAATGAGGAGTGTGTGATTGTAGGGTAAGTACCTCTTCTTTTCTGATTTCCTAGCTGACTAGTGATAATTACAGGAGTCGAAAATCTTATAACCGGTGCAACACCAACAAGAAGAAATGCGAGTAGCCAACACAGAGCAGAATTCCAGCAGCGAAGCAGCCCCATGTAGAAAAGGCGGTGGCTACTGCAGCACAGGGGGTGGCATCGGAGTCAGGTGCAGTACTGGTGGTGGTAGCTCGGCCGGCTTTTCGGGAGGAGGTAGTGTCACTGCCAACCATAGTGGGGATGAGCACTACTGAGCTATTGCTAAGGGCAATAGCTCAAGAACTTAGGATGGAGAATGTCCACTGGCAGAGGTTCTGGGTCCACATCGTGGATCAACTAGAGTTAATTCTGAGGCAGTTGGAAGGAAATGCTGAGGGAGAGAATGAGCGCGAGGAGGAGCAGTCAGAGGCGGGAGAATGAAGGGCGAAGCAGGAGGAAAGAAGGAAGGCAGAGAAACAAGCAGAGGAATGGATGGAAGCGATGCGGAGGTGGGATATGGAGGATGGGGATGAGGGAGCAGATGGGGCGGAATCGGAAATGGCAGTATAATATATCTACATACTTTCTTGTTTTCTTTTTTCTTCTTGAATGTAATTTTTCTTGTTTTTCTAAACTAATGAGTGAATTAAAAAGGAATTGGAAAAGGAGAATGTCGGAATCGGGATCGGAAAAAACCTAAATTGGAAGTGGTGGAATTGAGGACAACTACACTAAGAGGAAGAAAAGAACTATCTAAGAAATTTGAAGAGAAGTAAGAGAGCAAGGAATCAGAGCTATCGGGATTTACATGGGGAGGAAACCGGGTTGATCAGGATACTTGATGTGAAACTCGGTAATCGCTTCTTGTGTATGTTCGAGTTCATCAGCGGGAATCTAGTCAGTTTCTTCAGAAGTACCTTCATATCCTAACCACTTGACCAAGTATAGCAGTTTGCAGTGGCATCATTTGTCAATCTTGGACTGGAGAATTTCTGCAATCTCATACTCGGGGTTGCCGTCAACATCTTCAGGGGGAGGTGATTCTTGTACTTGCCCAGGAATGGTTGAGGTGTGAGCGGGTTCAAGCATAGAGATGTGGAAGATGGGGTGGACAGCGCGCATAGCATCGGGAAGTTTCAGGGTAAAGGATTGAGGGCCGACTTGGGCAATGATCGGGAATGGTCCGGCATACTTATTGGATAGCTTCTTCGATGGATGGGTAGTATGGAAGTACTTTGCTTTGACGAATACTTCTTGACTGACTTGGAAATCTGGCGGAGGTGCTCGTCGGGCATTGGCTGGACCTTGATATCTCTTCTGAGCTTCTGACATGTTTTCTCAGAGATGCTCGTGAAGGGAATCCAAGTCTACCACCATTTGTCGGGCTTTGGACGATGCAAGGTCGCATTCAGAATAGACGGTAATGTTGGGATGGTAACCTTTATTTGTAAAAAATGGCGAAAGACCTGTTGTAGTGCTAGGTGTGTTATTGTAGGCAAATTCAGCGAGAGGCAGAAGCGATGACCAGTTGTCTTGATTGTAATTGCAATAAATTTGGAGATACTGTTCCAGAGTCTGATTTGTGTGTTCGGTTTGTCTATCACCTTCGGGATGGTAACTGGAGGTAAAATGAATGCGCATGCTAAGAGCTTCCCCTACAGATCAGAAGAATCAGGATACAAATTCGGAGCCCCAGTCACAGATGACATGATTAGGAACTCCATGCTTGGAAAAGACATGGATAACAAAGAGTTCCGCCAACTGTTCTGATGTGCAAGTAGTGTGTGTCGGAATGAATATCCCTTGTTTAAAGAGATGATCGACAATAACTAAGATTGCATCATAACTGGAGGAGTCAGGGAGTTGCTCAATGAAGTCTATAGAGATAGAGTCCCATGGTCAGGTCAGGACCAGAAGTTGTTGGAGGGTTCCGTAGGGTTTGTGTCATTGTGGTTTGATACACATACAAGTAATGCAAGACTTGCAGTATTCCTTAACAAAGTCATGAAGACCAGGCCAATCGTATTTTCGTCGGATGAGATCAATGATCTTGTTTTGGCCCATATGTCCTGCGAGGACGTGGTCATGCTTGAATCGGAGAATTTGGAGTCAGAGGTCATTGGAATTGGGAACGTAGATTAAGCCATGATAATACAGGGAACCATCTTCGGTAAGAGTCCACTTGTCAGACCTGTCGGGAGAGTCAGTGAATTGGATATACATGGGATCAGAAGGCAAAGCAGAGCGAATGTCTTGAAGAAGTGTATCTTGATCGAGAGTAATTGTTGCATGAAGTGTCGGTGTCATGAGAACAGTTGCACATAGCGAAACTGATAACTGCTCATTGGTGAATATTGGTCGGAGATTGTGCAGATTTACTGCAGCATAGTCGCTACTCCTCCCTTTAAGATAGATGTCCCATCGTCTAGTTAAAGCGTCGGGTTTGGTTCCAAGTTTACCTGGTCAGAATCAGATAATGAAGTTGAAATGGGAAAGGTATTCTAACTAGTGGGCCTGTTGGCAAGTAAGTAGCTTGGTGGTGGAGAAGTAGGTCAAATTTTTGTGATCGGTGACTACGTCTATAGGG